TGACATCATGGTCACCACATGAAAGAGGCTAAAAAGGAATCAACCAAAATGTCCGCCGATGTTTAAGTCCAGATTTACCGCCTTCTTCTTCTTTTGCTGCAGAATGATGACGCATGTCTCACATCAAGGACATAAAAGTCAGATAAAATTCAACATGACCATTCAGACTGCAGAGACTTTGAAAAGTATCAGATTTACTTCCAAATATGGAGCAGATTGGATTATTTTTGGGGGGTGAAATGATCAGAATTGGGCCTTTCAGACTGCTGTGGAAAAGTCAGATATCGATTGAAGAAAGAAAAGAAAGAAAAGAAATCGGATATCAATCTCATTTTCCTGCTGTGTGAACGCTGCCTTAGATCGGGTCTAGGCAGAAAACCCAAAACCTAAATTTAGATTTTTGGCTCAGGCCATAAATCTAAACTCTAATTCAAATGTTTGCCTTGGTGGCGTCATGGAGAGCTTTGACTGGATTTAAAGAGACGGAACCGGAGTTTTACCCGGAAGTTATGTCGATGAACAATGATATTGTCAAATGATGGTAATGGAATAATAATGCAAGAAGATCAATAAACTTTACACTCTATTGAACATTAAACACTGGAACTGGAAGACATTTTAAATATTCCAAATAAATAAACAACACAACAAATAAAATTAATTATAAAGTCTTTGTAAATTGTCCGGGTGAACCGGTTCTGGTTCTGGGCAACATACCTTGTCAGCGTAGCAGAACTTTGCCACCTTGTGAGAGTGGTTGAAAGGCTGGAAACAGAAACGTAGAGAGGTCAGAGGTCAGGAGGAGCATCTCCAGAACATTAAGTGGTTCCGTGTCTGACTCACAGACAGCTGGTACCGGACGTCTTTGGTCCAAACCAGTTCATCTCCTACCACACAGGGAACCTCCTCCGTCCGCCCCTTTAGGCCGTCCAGCGCCTAAAGGGTTAAAACAAAGGGTTAAAACACCCAGTAGCAACCCAAACGGATCAGAACCGGGCCTGGAGAACCACCACACCTTCTGCAGCTCGGCCCGTTCTGGACTTCCCGCCTCGAAGCCCAGGATGGGTTCGTTCTTCACTTCCACAGCCAAACCCGGGAACGTTCGGAACCTGGAAGCAGAGAGCTGTTCGTGTCTCTGGTTCTAGACCAGAGACACGTAAACGGGTCGTTGGTTCTTGATGGGTATTTTCCTCGAACCTTCATAAAAGAACCACAGACAACGTGTCTGAATTTTATGGCCAAGCTTTTGCAAAAGGAGAAGATTCAGCAAACTGCTCCTCCGAGCCGTTCACAGAGCGTTCTGCCCTCTCTCTGCTAGAGCCTTTTATTTGGGAAAACAAAAGTCAGAAAAGATGAACAATAAAACAGATGGCAGCTCCATCTGACACTCGGGTCATCAGGAATCTGGAGGAACAATCAGTTTTCAGATTCTACACAGCAATCAAAAGGTTTTAGCACCGTACGTCATTACTGGTTGACATTAGACTGAATATGAATAAAATGATAACACAAAAAACCTCTAACAGTTCTGACCCGCTGGGTCGCAGCAGAACTAGAAACCCAGAAGACATGACTTCTTCTGACCCAGTAGATGTGAAGCTTAAACCTGGATCGGATCAGAACCAACCGGATTGGACCAGATCTCTGCAGAATGCTTAATAAATAAACAGACTCGGCTCCTCTTCGGTCCCATTTCTGGTTCTGGACCCCTTCTTAAATGTTCTCCGGTTCTGATACAGGAACAGGACCAGAACAGAACCGGGCCTTATTCCAAATATCAGCTTAAACTGATCATCATATGGCTGCAGGTCCCACCTGGTTCTGTCTAGTTCAGAACCAGAACCACGGGTCCAGTTGAGTATACAACTCGGTTCTACAGAACTTTAAATATTTCATGCGGTTCTACTCTGGGCCAGTTTGTTTCTATTAGACGTTTCAGAACCAGAACTTTGTTTTCAGACACCAGATTTGGGTCAGAACCTTCAGATTTTTAAATTAGAACCGGTTCTGGTTCTGTTCCAGCATCCTGTCCAGAACCCAGAGAGCCAAGCCTTTGATTAATTTTAGCTTCTTGTAATAAAACCTGGACTGGACTCGGTTCTGTCCTACAGGTTCTGCTCTGACTAAACCAGGTCACGTTTTTCGAACTCACCCTGTTGTTCCACTCATTTTCCTTATCGGTACTTTGGACCGGGTCGGATCGGGTCAGAGCGGCTCAGCTGGACGGCTTCCTGCGCTAGGCTGCAATTAACAGCAGCAACCTGAACCCTGACCCGACAAAGAGGAGGGATCAGAACCAGAACCAGGTGGGTTTTTCCCACCAGAACTGGGCGGCCTTCACCCTGCGCCGCTGCTGCAGCTGGAACAACAAACAGGGGCCCTGAGGCCCTGGGGGGCCTGATAGCTTCAGACTCTGACCATCTGCAGCTTTCCTCTGCATGGAGGTAATCGATTTTCCAGATCAATAATTCTAGAAGCAGTTCTGGTGTTTCAGTAGACCAGAACCTGCAGAACCAGTCTGAGTCGGAGTCTGAAATACTTATTTGATGATGTTTGGAAAAAAAATCTCCATCTGTTAAACTCCAGCTGGTTTTAATCATTAGACATGTTGACAGTTCAAAGGTCAAGCCTCTTCTAGTGCTGAGTCTAGTTGACATTAGTTACACATTCAGTACTCAAATATATGAACAGAAAACAGAATTAGCCAAAAATTCCCCCCAAATAGTCACCAGGGGGCAGCAGAGGAGAGCTCAGCTGTGACGGCTTTGAGGAAAACTACAGTCCCGATACTACAAAGATGGCCGAAACATGAGTAGCTGACCGAGCAGCAGGCTTCTTTTGGGTTTTTCATTATAGCTCAGTTTTATTTCATTGTCACTGTTTGTCTAAATCAGTTTTTATTAGTGAATTAGTTAAATGTTTAGTCTGCTTAAGCAGAGGGCCTCCTGGAGGACATTAGTTTGAAAGGCTAAAAAAATAGTCAAACACGAAAACAAAGGATATTACGAGTATAATTTCAGTGTGTTCTACTTAATGTTAATTTCATTTCATTGTTTATTTCTGTTTATATTTTTATTTTTAACGAGGCTGCTATTTCTATTGTGACCACTAGATGGCAGGAACAGTTACAAACTACCAATTTAATTCCTGCTGTTTGTTGACCTGCGCTGAGTTTCTACTCTCCAGAGATTAAAGAAGTAAATCGGATGTTTTTATGGTATTTTCAAGTTATTTCCAGGAAACAATCAACAACACGTGTTTCCTGCTGAGTGTCTGCGCAGTTGCAGTGGAGCAGCTGTCCTGCAGAGGAGATCAGAACCAACCTGGACCTTCTTCCTCAGGCTGCAGGAGATCAGGTGTCATTAGGTAACACACCTGAAGCTCAACAGCACCGCGTGATCAGGCGCCTGTTGTCCCCACAAAGTTACTGAAAGTGTCAGTGGGTCAGATGATCATCTGAACACCTTCTGGAAGTCGTCGGAGTCTCGTGTCCGCTCATGTGAAGTTCAGCGCCGGGACTTACCCCCTCCAGGACCGGCCCAGGAGCACCCGGACACGGAGCATCTTCCGTCTAGACCCAGCGGCGCTCAGAGAGAAGAGAAGCGGCTGAATGGTCCCGTTCCAGCCCCAAAAACCTGATCAGTAACCGATCCGGAATGATCAGGTAGATGACAGGAGGGTAACTGGAGGCAGCTACCTGCTGCCAGGGGGGCAGGCTGCGACCAGGTCTCCCAGTCCGCCTCAGAATCAGCCCCACTCATCCAGGAATTCTAAACTACTGTAAACGGGTGTTTTTACATAAATATCCCTCAACGTGAGGAAGTGTTTCACCTTAAAACTATTTAAAAAATAATTCTGGTCAATTTCTAATATCCCTCAGATAAGTGGAACCTTCCAGAGGCGGGTATCTTTCTGACCAATCACAGAGCAGCACTATTTTATTAGCCAATCAAAGGCCGTTACTGAAACGCCAAGCTGCGTAACTTTTGTCAGAGTGGGTCTGTTCCATTCACACACCGGCGAAGCTGCTGGCGCACCGGAAAGGCGGAGTTTGGACCCAAACAAAAGGACTGTTTATTAAAAAGAAGTATTGCAATATGTCACTGAATATGTTGAATCTAATCAGACTGTGTGTTAACCTCCAGATGATCTATGGAAGTTAATATTTAATTTCCTAACAATCATAAAGGAGTGATCTGCCTTGAGAAATCGAAATATTACAATATTAATATTAAACGTAACAAAGATGAGTAAGTAGTGATATAAAGATGAACGCTGATTACACCAGCAGGTGATCTCTGGTGGGATTCATTTTTCATTCATCAACTGTTACTTGTCTGTTAAACTTACTCTCGTCATCTCGTCTCCACAGATCCTCTTCCTCTGTCCATCTCAAAGTTCCCCCTGCTCGTCTTGTCACTATGGGAAGCAGAGCATTTAGCCGCAACGCTCCCAAACTCTGGAACTCACTCCCACCTGATCTCCGTAACATCGAGTCTGCAATATTTTAAGTCCAAACTAAAAACCCATTTGTTTGAACTCGCATACAGCTTCTCATTCCTCCCTCTCTCGGCTTCACTTCGAACCGGCCCACACACCGGCTGACTGGTAAGAAGTAGATCCAGTGAATTTAGGTTTCCTTGAACATAAATGTAATATTTTGAAAGACAATTTACGAGATGAATGAATGAACATCAATTTAAGCTATTCAATTTCCAGCAACCACAGGAAATTATTTAACTTAGAAAAATCTTCATAAAACACTTTAATGTGAATCAGAGGAACTTACATAATTAAGTCCAACCTCAACATGTTCACCTTTAATCCTCCTCTGATGGACCCTCCTTCCATGCTATAATTAGCTTGTATATTCTGGGATGTACTCCAGTACAGGGAGTTTGATGTCCATGCGTGAGAGTACCCGCATCAACAGTGTTTTTTCTTTCAGCCTGCAGTGTCATAAAGTGACCAGGAGAGGGAGACAGATATCAGTGTGCCCATAGTGTGCCTCCTTTGAGTTTATTTTCCGCTGGATAAACATCCTCTAAGGCCTTCATTCTTACTTGAATAATGTCTTGGATGGTTACTTTTGATTTTATTCTAATAAAAATATGTTAACGTAATAACTAAAATTAAAAACTGAGAAGCCCTGTCGTCTTCCTGTTCTCACGTTGTTTCCAGGAACGGGATTTGTATTCTCTATTTTGGACCTAGCAGCACTCCGTACACTGACAGGGGTCAACAAACGGGATTGTTGTGAAAATCAGCGGCTCATCGATCTTTCATCAGCCGGTGTGAAGCTCACACCAGCGGGCCGCCGCTGGAAGGGAGTCCCGGTCAAGCGGTGAGACGCTGGGGGTAAGGTTAGCAATAGCTAGTTAGCTTTAGCTGTTAGCTTGCTTCTAGCTTCGATGACTGATAGGGAACCGAACCGAGCCAAGGGAGGCACTAACACCTGCTGTCATCCCTCGCAGAACCAGAACCGAACCGGACAGCTGATATTAGACTAAGCTCTGCGGTGAGCTAACGGAGCTAACAGCAGTTTATAGGGCTGCAGCTAAAGCTAACAGCAGCGTTAGAGATCTTGGAGGATCCAGAAGATTTTGAAGAATAAATGTTGACTAGTAACTTAATTAATGGATAATAAATGTTGGTTACTAACCTGATTAATGTGACATTTAGCTTCTTTCTGCAAAACTGTTCAACATCAAACAGTAACAGAAAATATTCTACTGAAAGTGAGACCGAAGGAAATGTTCCGAGTTATGCCCTTAATATTTAGTTAATGGTAAAATAATAATTAAAATACTATTTGATTGGTGTAAATTTGCTAAGATCCGGGTTATTCAACCCTTGTGGGTTCTGTCAGCAACGGACCTCATTAATGCAGTGGCTCCACTGTATAATGCTAAGCTGAATATTCTTAGGGTAAAAAAATTGAAGTATTTGTTTTTCAATTTTCTTCAATTTGCCTAAATCCTCATGTTTTGTTTGGTGCACGAGTACTTGGTGCAGTACTCCAATTGGTTGTTATTTATCCAAACAAAGTACAATGTTTGCAAAGAATCTCCTGATTGGATGAAAAAGAGCTGTCTGTGATTGGCTGGTGGTGTAGCTCATTTAGCCACATTAGCAGACAGATACAGAGCCAAGCACATACAAAATGTTATTTTTTTTGTTCACACTGAAGAAAATATCCATTCTAGCTAGCACTCTGCTAACTGCCTCATCTAGTCCACCGAGGTTCTGGCAAGGTGAGTTCAGCAGGTGAACATTGTCTTTGCTACCGTTTGGATTTCAGGAAAGAATTTTATTCACTTTTTTAATCCTTTATCCATGTTTAGTCAGTTTATTTGGTGAAGCTGTTGGTGTGTAGACAGGAAATCGTTAGATCCATTGACCAAAAAAATGACCTCAGACTCATGAGATGTTGCAATTGCTCTTTCAATCGTTTAACCAAATATACTCTTCAATTCGTCTTTAATATCTCTACTACTGGTGTATAAAACCTTATTTAAAATAAAGAAAATCATCTTAGGATGGTGGGAGAAGTAAGCCTGGCAGCTGCCAGGCTTATGATGCGGTGGGGGAAATCCTGAAACCCTGTTCTGTCAGCAGCGTGCGGCGGTGAATCAGGATGAGCACAAAGGGAGGAGTCACAGCTCTGCCACGCAGGAACTACAGACTGGCCTCAGACATGGACAAACCCAGATCCACAGGTAGGACACCTGAGGTCAGCCACAGGTCACAGGAAGTACTTCCTGTCAGGGATCCCATGAGCTCTGGATGCAACATGCCTGACAACCGGCTATAGATGATTATATATGGATTCAGATCCTCCATGGCTGGCCTTGCATTTGGGGACAATTAATGAAACGTTAAAAGTTTTAACAATATATTTGTGATATACTGGTAATGTATTGGGGATATGTTGGGAGATATATTGGTGTTACATGGGTAATGATGAAATTTTGGTAATGTTTTGGCTATATATTGCCAAAATATTGTTGATATATTTCTAATTTATTGACAATATTAGATATTGGTTGTAAATTGGTAATATATTTATATATTGGTGATGTATTGATGGCATAATAATGATATATAGGTGGTATATTGGTGATGCATAGAAGATACAGTACAGACCAAAAGTTTGGACACACCTTTTCATTCAAAGAGTTTTCTTCATTTTCATGACTATGAAAATTGTAGATTCACACTGAAGGCATCAAAACTATGAATTAACACATGTGGAATTTTATACTTAAAAAAATGTGTGAAACAACTGAAAATACGCTTTATATTCTAGGTTCTTCAAAGGAGCCAGTGTTTCTCCACCCTGGTCCTCAGCCTCCCTGCTCTGCATGTTTTAGATGAGCCTCTGTTCCAGAACAGCTGATTCAAATGATTACATGACCACCAGGTACTGCAGAAGCCTGTTAACCACCCAGAGATACAATCCAGGTGTGGCAGAAGGGAAACACCTAAACCATGCAGGACAGGGGGCCTGAGGACCAGGGTGGAGAAACACTGGTCTAACTCTAAGCAGGAAGACAATTAGACTGATTGTTGGTTTCCTGTCGGCTCCCACCTCACTTCCTGCTCATGGTTCATCCTCAGCCTCTCCAAACTGAATAATTCCTGGAGCAGAGGAAGCAGTAGGTTCCTGCAGGGTTCTGTTGGGTGGTTCTGGCCAGTCCCAGTCATACAGTCCCCATGTGGAGCCGGTTTAGACCCAGATGAAGGTTCTGGTCCTCAGCAGAACCTGGTCTTCTTCATCCCACAGGTATTGTGAACGAGAAGCTGCTGAGTGACTACCTGCACCACGTGTTTCCCTCCACCAAGCCGGGACCAACCGTCGCCTCGCTCAGGTACCAGACCCACTGCCAGTCCCGGTTCTACAGCCCAGACTGGCCCGGTTCTGACTCTGACACACTAACTGCATCTCAGTCAGTGGAAGGCCATATCAGGCCGTGTGTGTGTGTGGGTGTGTGTGTCCTGGAAGCCACCAGCTTCATGTTTCAGGCCCGGTTCTAATGATAGACCGGTTCTGTCAGCTGTCTTGACACAAACTTTTCTTCTTCTTTTGATGTTTCCATTTTTTAGACTTAATCCCTTGTGACTTTATTTATCCATCTTTTTCTATTTTACACATATTTCTCATGTTTATTTCACCTTTTGATGTTTGAATTAAATGAATAAATAGTGCTAATAATAATAATAATATCCCAGTTAAACTCCTGGTGTCTTTATGGAAGAAAGTCTTAAGATTTCATTTTTTAGACATGAAGATGGAAGCAAAACTTTGACATGTCCATCATATTTGAAGAGAAATAATAATAATAATAATAATAATGATAATAAAACTGAATAAAGTTTGGACTGGACTTAATAAAATCCCAAAAGAACCGGGCTTCTGCGCTGATCCTGACCCTGAATTTTCCACCTTTAACATTATTGTTCCATAAAGACGGTATTGACTGAATGATTGATGAAGAATCTGATCAGTGTGTGATGTCCAGAACACAGCCTGAAGGTTTCCTAGGTAACCGGAGCTCCAGCTGGTTCTGGTTCTGGTTCTGGTTCCGGCTCCTCTGAGGATTCAAACCTTCAGCCTTTCTGTGTCGGTCTGCAGGAAGCCTCTTGGTTTCCAGGACCTGAGCTCACACCTGGAGAAGCTTCTGTCTGAAGGAGAAACACCTGAAGAGCTCAGAGGTAAAGTCCTGCTGCAGCGCCTTACACTGTAAAAACACAAAACCTGACCAGGTATGTTTTCTCTAGTTTTGTCATGTTTCAAGTCGGCTTTAGCTTCTGTCCGATGTCGTACAGAAACTTTGAATCTTCCATTTTACTTTTACTACTTTTCTACAATCATTACATCCATTTAGCATAAATGCTGCTTCAAACCTTCTCATTTCAGTTGGCAGTGAATTCTGTGGTGGAAAATGTTATCAGTAATATATTATGACTTTATTAATCTGATGTTCAGTAAACTACCAGATAAAAAAATTACACCACAATTCCCTCTTTTGATACTAAAATACGTAACATTTTTATATGAACTCCAAGTTTTATTTAACCTCAATAGTTTAGATTTTTTACAGCAGCGTTCTCTGCAGCCGGGCTGCTGGACGCTATGCTAGCTCGCTATGCTAGCTCTCTACGCTAGCTCGCTATGCTAGCTCTCTACGCTAGCTTGAGGAGCAAAGCAGCTTGATCAATTTGACTGGCAGCCAGAAAGATGCTAAATTTCCCTCTGAGGAAAATAAAGGCTACTTGTATCTTCTGTCTCCGTCTTCAGGAATTTATTTTAACTTGTATTTTATAATAGTGATTGAAACACAGATGATATTTATATTAAAACAATTACATTTATTGGATTCCATTTTTTTTTCTTAATTGTTCCTCCAACTTTCTGAGGCCCCCTAGCGCCCCCTGGCGGCTCCCTCTCTGAGGAACGCTGTATTCAGATATTTGCAGTAGAAACTAAACAAGTTGTTGGTCGGGTTTAGTTTTTGCAGTGCAGACCTGCAGCCTGATCATGTCCCTGTCCTCAGATCCGTCTGCAGAGGGCCGTCTGGGTCCTCAACCTGTGGTTCTGGACCACACCAGCGGCTTTGAGGGCCTCTTGTTCGTGGACGACGACCTGCTGGGGGTGAGCCGGGTCTGTCTGGGTCAGAACTTCCAGACTGTAGCAGAACGTCTCACATGGTGTTTGCTTCCTGCAGGTAATTGGCCACAGCAACTTCAGTTCCATCAGAGCCACCACCTGCGTTTTTAAAGGTAAAACACACCGGTTCTGCTGGGTTCTGACCGGACCGGGCCCAACAGAACATCTGAACGGTGGGTTCTGTTCCCGCAGGGAAATGGGCCTACGAGGTTCTGATCTCCTCTCAGGGTCTGATGCAGATCGGCTGGTGCACTCTGAGCTGTCGCTTCAACCAGGAGGTGAGGAAGAGGAAGAGTCGGCGGGGCGGGTCGGCTAGCCGGGTCGGTTCTGACACAGTTCTCTGTTCTCAGGAAGGGGTCGGGGACACGCCGGACTCGTACGCCTATGATGGAAACCGGGTCAGAAAGTGGAACGTAACGACCACCAACTACGGAAAGGTGACACAGGAAACGGGTCGGAGCGGGTCAGAACCTCAGGGTCTGGGTCAGAACCTCAGGATTTGGGTCAGAACCTCAGGGTCTGGGTCAGAACCTCAGGTCAGAACCTCAGGGTCTGGGTCAGAACCTCGGGGTCTGGGTCAGAACTTCAGGTCAGAACCTCAGGTCAGAACCTCAGGATTTGGGTCAGAACCTCAGGGTCTGGGTCAGAACCTCAGGTCAGAACCTCAGGTCAGAACCTCGGGGTCTGGGTCAGAACCTTGGGGTCTGGGTCAGAACCTCAGGATTTGGGTCAGAACCTCAGGATTTGGGTCAGAACCTCAGGATCTGCGTCAGAACCTCGGGGTCTGGGTCAGAACCTCAGGTCAGAACCTCGGGGTCTCTTGTTTCCAGAGGTACCACTGTTTTCCCATAACATGACAGTCTAAATGTTTTAGTTGGATTTTAAAAAAGCACCTTATTATATTGTTACATTTTTGTGTCAGCAGTATTAAATACTGACTAAATAAATATGAAACTGTGGTTTTCTCACATTATTGAACTTGGACATATTTATAAAATATGGAACCGTCTCTGGATGATGATGAAGTTGAAGCTTCGCTCCATAACGAGCATCAACAGGCCTCAGAATCAACCTTGTTTATTGGCTTCATGGATTTTTCGTCATTCGTCCGTTTTTCTGTCAACAGATCCTTGCCTTAAGAAAATCTACGGAGAGAAAATAGTCTCAAAATACCTGTGTGCGTAATACTGGATTTGTAATCCGTGTAAACATTTTTGTGTATAACTTTGGATAGTTGTATCTGTGAAACATGATTTGTAAACTATAAAACAAAAATTTGTGTGCAACTCCGGGTACTTGTAAATATATGGTCATATCCACATATTTACGTATGTTTTAATTGTATACACATGGATTTTAAACCATGTAATCTCAGCTGTATATGGAGAAATTAAAAAGTACAAAACAAAAGTCCACACACAATTTAGCCCTAAGCCTAAACATGAAATTTATACACACACATTTGTTCTAACTTCTCTTAAACTGTGCTGAAGTGTGACACTATAGACACATGGACTTATCTACCAACAGCTAAAGTACATTAGCTCCCGCTAGCAGAAGAATATGAGGACAGAGTATTAAACTACCAGATATATAAAACGTAATCTGAAATTATTTATAATTACTCGACGTCTCATTATAACCGGAGAGCAAAGCCTGCAGGTTTCACTTCTACTTACTTCTGAGGACAGACCACCGGGACGCTCCGTCTTGTTTGACAGCTTGTTTTTCCAGCCAGCGAACCATTCCGCCACCTAGTGGTCGTTTTTAAACTGTATTCTCAGCTGTACCGCTCAAAAATGCACAATATTGTCTACAAGCAATTTTTAGTATTATAAAGAAGTACTGAAATATTCCGTTTTCCAACGTAATAACGTTTTGCCACTTCGGCACAAGCACAGTGAGAAACATTCAGAGGATGAAAACACTGGACTTCGAACAAAAATCAGATGACCCAGCTTTCCACCAGCATTTAAACGCACCATTTACGCACAGATCTGAGGCGTGAAATGAGTCTCAAAAATCTTCGTACATCGTAACAGGTGATCTGTGTGTAAATGCAGCTCTGTCTGTATCTGGCGACTCGTGTTACTTATTTAACATTTGTAGGCGCAGAAGGTTTGTCAGCTTGAACTTAAAAAATCTGTGTAGAAATTTAACGTTGGTAGAAATTGCAAATTGTGTGTGTGCTTTTATTTTGTATTCGTAGTTTCTTAATATTTGTGTATGCATTTGACCACATATTTACAAGTACCCAGAGTTACGCACAAATTTTTGTTTTACTGTTTACAAATCATGTTTCACATTTACAACTATCCAAAGTTATACACAAAAATATTTACACGGATTACAAATCCAGTATTACGCACACGGGTATTTTGAGACCATTTTCTCTCCATGACTTTTGGTTGAATGTTCGGCTGAATGAGCGATATTAAGGTGAAACTTCAGGAGTTTAAGTGTTTATATTCTTAAACAAAAACGCATAAAGTGCGTTTTTCATCATCCCACACTGGACTCTGGACCGTTTCTCTTTCCCGTTGTAGTACGTCCCTGCCGCCATCTTTGTTTCTGTTCTAGCTCCGCGTAAGGAGGACCAGCCGCGCCCTCTGCTGGACGGCAGCTTAACTACACTAAAAACAGGTCTAAGCCAGTGGTGTCCAAACTTTTTGCCATTAAATTAAAACTGAAAATATTTATTTTTGTGGACATTTGTTGTTTTTACCCCTGCAATAGAAATAGATGTTATTTTAAAAAGCAAAGTTGTTTGATTGTTGTAGAAACAGGATTTAGCACAGTTGCTGTATTAAATGACTAGTGCGGTAAATATTTTCCAAAATGTTTTGGGGTTTTTTTTTGTCTTTGCTGCTAGATTTACCAAAATGTAATCAATAAAAACATAAAAAGTGTTAATAAAAGAAAGATACCTGATCTTTGACCTAAAATTCAGTAAAAATCTGAAATTAATCATAAATTTGTTCCACTCTTGAATTGTAGATCAAACAAAATCATCCAGAGGGCTGGATGTTTTTAATAAAATAAAATAAACCATTAATCAAAAATTAATTGTAACTTAATTGTTTGCATTTTTCGTCAGACCCAGATGTTGTGGGTCAGAACTTTGTGTTTTGGGTCAAACCCAGATCCAGATGTTCTGTTTTCCTCTGCAGTCGTGGGCAGCTGGAGACATCGTCAGCTGTCTGATCGACCTGGATGAAGGAACCATCACCTTCTGCCTGTGAGTCAGCACATGCTGACAGTTTCCATCTGTTTCCAGTATTTATGCTAAGCTGAGCTAGCCTGAGTTATGCTGCCTGAGCTTTTCAACCAGAACCAGAACCATCGTCTTCTCTCCCTGTGTCTCCAGGAACGGCCAGTCTCTGGGGACGGCCTTCAGCAGCATCAAGACGGGTCCCGGCGTGGCGTACTTCCCGGCCATCAGCCTCTCCTTCAAAGAGTCGGTGGCGTTCAACTTCGGCAGCCGGCCACTCAGATATCCTTCCCGCCGGTTCTGCGCTGCCTCCCCGCTCCAGAGGCTCCGGAGCCTCCCCGTACAGATCTGCTGCGTTAATTTAGAGGAAATCCAACCCTATCTATAATATATTGATGTAATTAGAGGAACAAATAGCTTTGCTTTCCTCACTACAGCGACAAAATAAGAACCATTTTCACTTCCAAAACTAAATAAATGGATGAGTTCAGCAACAAATATATTTTATTTGCAAAGTGCTGCTCTACTCACTCAGCCTTGAAGTGAAGCAGAAACTAACCCCCAGTGTTTACAGATGTCACTTGTGCGTCAGATATGTGGATGTACCAGAAACAAGCGAGTGCAAAGGTTCCACTCAGAACTTGTGCTTCTGACCGATTTTATTGGATGCTGGAAAACATTATTGTTGTGTCCGTCCGTCCGTCCGTCCATCCATCCATCCATCCATCCATCCATCCATCCATCCATCCATCCATCCATCCATCCATCCATCCATCCATTTTCTAACACCCTTCTCCCTTGTGGGGTCGGCAGGGGTGCTGGTGCCTCTCCAGCGAATGTTTTGGGCGAGAGGTGGGCTCGGTGAATGCGCATATGAAACTGGGGGGTTCGGTACCTCAAAAAAGGTTAAGAACCACTGCGCTAACGTTAGCTTCCACAGTCCATATTTCCAAAGGATTAAAAAAAATAAAAAATCTGATGGTTGAAGAACAGATTAAAAACGGTACACTTCTTTGTTGCGGCAAAAAAAAGTCTGAATTGAAAATGTTTTTTTTTTAATATTAATTAATTACAAACTTTGTGATTAACTCTATTAAGCTTTTTAATGGAGTGCCACCACCATTAATTACATACATTTTTCATTTAGTGAGTCCGGATTGATCACCTTTCATAAAGTGAGACCAAAGTTCCTCCCAGAAGCTTTTAAACAATCAGAAGAACCTGAAACTGATGAACTGCATGAAAACAACACAAACAGATTTTAATCCCGAGATAAAAGATGAAATTATATTTGTCTGCTGGTCTGATTGGGTGTGTGCCTGGGTCTGGTTCTGTTCTGGATTCTTTGACCCGCTGCAGGACCAGAACCAGAGGCTCTGATCAGTGAATCAGGTGTTTTTGTCCTTAACTGGAGAGGGCGCCACGTACCCAGCTGACGGCTACCTGCCGCTGCAGGACCCCCCCACCGCAGACCTGCTGAAGGCCCACAGGCTGCTGGGATACATCAAGAATGTCCTGTCCACCTCCATTGACACTCAGGTGACCAGGCCGCACGCTGGTTCTGATCCGCAGCCATCCAATGCTGCTACACCTGCTCTCACTGAACGGTCAGGAAGCCAGTTTGGATCAGCTAGAGTTCAGGACGCGTCTCCGAAAAATAAATCCAGTTTGTCCATCAATCCAGTTTTTGGTTGGAAAATCTTGGATATTTTCCACCAATGCTTTCCTTGTGATTCCATCGTGCAGAGTGATGTCAGCAGGGCGGCCATCTTGTTTGATAAGCGTGTTTTACAGCTTCTGTTTATTTGGACTTTGAATTCAGGTCAACTTTACGACAGAATATCAGAGTTTTTCAGAATAAAGTGGTTGAGAACAAAGTGATGATAAACTGTTACCAGAATCCAGTTTTTATATTTGCAGAATGAAGTAATAATTTTATTAGAACTCCTCTATGAAAAGCAACAAAAACTTAAATGGGAAATGTTGAGAATTTTATGAAGTTATACGTTGGGATTGGTTTTAAATTTGAACATATCAAATTATTTTCAGCAGCAGGACTTTACAAACCACACAGACTGAGCTGCTCATGTTGAATCTCAATAACTAGAAGTTTTATTCATTAAAACAACTTTATTCTTGTAATTTTAAGATGGTTTTCTGGTAAAATCGTGTCTTTATTCTGCTAATATTACTATATTCTCATAATTAAACAGAGAAGGGATGTGAATTAAGTCACATTTTGAAAATATTTAATTTGTAATTAATTTTTTAGAAAACAAAGCAAGAGAAATAACTAAAAATTGAGTATGGTATGAAAAACTTTAATATTTATGCGTTTTTCCCGCCCTTCGTCTCTGACGGTTTCTGTGTGCAGGAAGAGAAGCTGCTGGAGAAAGACTCCGCCGTCTGGAGGCTCCAGGGAGAACCCACCGTTCTCATCACTCTGGCTCACATCTTCAACCTCTTCGCTCCGCTCATGGTGAGACGAGCCGCTGCAGCCTTCACCAGAACCTCCTGCGGCCCAGATGAGGCTGCAGCGGCTGCTTCCTGCCAGCAGGAGGCGCCGCTGTTACAGCCGTGTGTGTGTGTCTGTCTGCAGTGTAAGGTCTACCTGGTGGAGGATGTGCTGATGAACTTCCTGCTGGGAATCCTGGAAGGAGGCGGTTCTGTGGATGAACATCCGCTCATCCAGCAGCTGCTGGACCTCTTCTGGCTGCTGATGGAGGTAAACATGGAGCTGCAGCCTCCGACCCAATTGGGCGACCAGGTCCAATTGGGTCGGAGGCTTCCCCTCTGGGGAAGATCTCCTCTCTTCCCCAGAGGAGATCAGGAGGCTTTAGAAAACATAAACAAGGTTTGGGTTGAGGGGACTAGGAGCGCCCTCTGGAGGCTGAAAATGTTGTGAAAATGTTGCAGAATCAATGTTTAAGTTTTTCATGTTGCAGCAGAGATTTATTTAGATTTTTCATCATCACCAGTGGGTCCCAGTTTGACTGAGGGTTTCACCAGTGGTGGGTCCCAGTTGGAATCACCAGCTGGTTCCAGTGCAAACTTTGATCAGCTGTAATGATTAATGGTTTCTGATCAGATGTTCCGACTGGTCTTGTTGGTCGGGTCAACAGCATCAGTCGTCTTTAAGTTTAGCCGGGGGAACCAGGCCTTGACCCCAGTGAGACCCGGTTCTGGCAGGTCAAAGTTCATGGTGTTCCCTCTTCCTGCAGGACCATGAGGTGAACGAGTGCCTGAAGCAGCTCATGATGTCCCTGCTGAGGGCGTACCGCTTCTCTCCCATCATCCCAGACCTGGGCTTCCAGGTACCACCCGCTGCCTGCCTTCTCCACTGGGTGGCGCTCTGCACTACAGCTGATCAGACGTTGGTTTCTGTTCCAGATCCACTATCTGCGTCTGACCACCGCCATCCTGCGCCACGAGAAGTCCAGGAAGTACCTGCTCAACAACGTCCTATATCCTTCTGAGACTCCCGGTTCTGTTTTCAAGCTCAGTTCAGAACCAGCAGGCGATTGGGTCAACTTTCCTTAACGAAGATTACGTTCGATGTTCTGCGTTCAGTGGTCTTCTTCTACATCAAGACTCCTCTGAGAGTCAAGGAGGCGGGACTGGAGGAGCTGATCCCGACCACCTGGTGGCCCACACACTTTGACAAGGAGGTAAACAGAACCGGTTCCTCCTTTCAGAACGCCTGTTGATCCAGAACTAGAGTCTGTCAGAACAGAAGGGTCAGGTGTCGATGAGGTGCAGTTACTACTTCATCCTGCGGGATGAAGTAGTAACTTCATCCCGCAGGATCTGAGCCTCCTTAGTTTTCTGTGTGCTCCTTTCTTTCTAAGCTGGACCTTCTGGTTCTGGTTCTGCAGGGAAAAGATGAGCGAGAACCCAAAGACGAGAGTTCAGATGAGCGTCTGAGGCGCCGAGCGTACGAGAGAGGCTGCCAGCGGCTGAAGAAGAGGATTGAAGGTGTGGCGGATGAGTCATTCAGGAATATGCTGCTTCTGCAGGTCACTGACCTCTCCTCTGTTCTTCTTCAGTGGTGGAGGACCTACAGGTCCAGATCCTCAGGCTGCTGCTCAACAACAAGGACAAAAATACGGTAGGTGAGATTTTTAATTCAAATACATCGTTTCCGTGGCAACAATGGAGAGTTGCTTCTGAAGTTAGTTTTTCTGATTTAGTTTGCCCTGTTTAGCTTCCTGCCAGTATCCCATTAGATTGATTTTAAAGAAAACATTGGAGGTTTGGAGCAGAGGCAGTTTGAGGTTCAAGTGAATTGAGGTTGAAGTGGGTTGAGGTTCAGACATGTTGAGGTACAGGCATGTTGAGGAACAGGCATGTTGAGGTACAGGGATGTTGAGGTACAGGCATGTTGAGGTTCAGGCATGTTGAGGTACAGGCATGTTGAGGTACAGGCATGTTGAGGTTGAGGCAGCTCTCTGACAGAAATGTCTCCGTCCATTTCTTTCAGGGAGAAGCTTCTCGTTACATTTTCCTCAACAAGTTCAGAAAGTTCCTACAGGAGAACGCCAGCAACCGAGGGGTAAGGTCATCACTGCGGCTTCACTCAGTCCAGCTTTTATCGTTCCTCTAACTGGATCAGTGTCCAAGTGGCTCAGTGGCGCCCCCTGCTGAAGCATCTGGAGACAAACTTCAAGTTTCTGCTTCTGTTTGAGATTTTAGAGCTCCAGATGCATTTAATGAGGACAACCACCACAATGAAGACAACTCCTCTGCCTGTTGGCCTTCACGTTCTCTCTCTATCTCTCTCTGTCTCTCTCTCTCTCTCTCTCTCTGTGTGTGTGAGCAGCATCCCACAGCTCTGTGTCCTCCTGAATACATGGTGTGTTTCCTGCACCGCCTCATCACCGCCGTGCGGAGCAGCTGGGACGAAGGCAGCAGGAAGAGTCCCAGCAGCCTCAGCAGCGAAGGTACGACATATCATCATCATCATCATCATCATCACTGAGTGATGAAGGTGACTTCAGGAGCAGCAGAGCGTCTGCTGCTTCACCAAAACCAACTCCGACAACAGCTAGAACAGCTGGACGTAGTCAGAACTGCTGACAAGTTTCCTGTCCCTCCCTCGTTGTCTCTGTCTCCAGACGCCTATGTTCCTCCTCAGCTCTTCTACAACGGGAAGGTGGATTACTTTGACCTGCAGAGACTGGGAGGACTCTTGTCCCACCTGAAGAAGACTCTTAAAGGTGAGGCATTCCATCTCTGAGTCCTCTGTGGTGGCCATGGTTACGGTCATGACCCGTCCCCCAGTCTTACTGCTGCTTGTCTTCCAGACGACCTCGCCACTAAGGCCAACATCGTCATCGACCCCGCAGAGATCCAGGCTGCGTCGATGGACGACCTGGACGAAGACGAGGAGAGCGGAGCCGCTCAGGTTTGTTACGATGATCCAAATCATCCTGGACCCGACAGAACCCGACAGAACCCGACAGAACCCGACAGAACCCAACAGAACCCAACCGGCTACTTCAGATTCAGCTGGGCGATAAACCGATTTTATCCATTAGTTGAATTTTTGGATTTTGAAGATTTAAATTGAGTTAGATATGGATTTTTTTCCACCAATGGCCTCCTTGGGTTTGCGTAGCTCAGTGATGTCATCACACCCAGGGCGGCCATCTTTTTTCACAAAGTGATTTTATTTATTTGGACTCTGAATTGAGGTCGACTGATGGAGTGTCAGAGCCAGGATACAATTTTTGATATTTTAATTCTGAGGATTAAAATATCTGGCAGTAGAATAAAAGCATTGTTACCAGAATACTGTTGTAATATTAGGAAAATGAAGTAATAATTTTATGAGATCTCCAACATGAAAGTAATACAAAATGAGGAATGTGAACCATCTTGTGAAGTTATATTTTGCTATCAGTTATAGATTGAAATAAAAAATGTTATTTAAAATATTTTCTGTAGTTTTTTAGAAAAAAAGCAAGAAAAAATGATGATCTGCTCGATTTTATCATAGATTTTAGTTCAGATCTGTCAGATCTACCAGGACGAGCGTCCGATAAAACACCTGGTCTCCTCCCGTCCTGTCAGAGGCCTTTCGGAGCAGCGGCGATGGGCAGTGCCCTGGCCCGACCCAGCTGGTTGAGTTCTCCCACTCTGGGCCGGGCCAACCGGTTCCTGAGCACGGCGGCCGTCAGCCTGATGACGCCGCGGCGGCCGTTGTCCCAGCCGGAGAAGGTGAAGGTCCGGACGCTGGCGGTGGAGCAGCGCACCGAGGAAGACAGTGAGTGGTTCCTCCACAGCATCTGGCTGACCCGCCACAGGCTCCAGCTTCCTGCTTCCTGTCTCCTCTCTGCCACGCAGTCGAGGGTAGCCACGGAAACGACGGCCTGTTGCTGGGGCGACCGCAGGAGGAGCCTGACCAGCCAATCACAGACAAGTCTCTGCTGGAGATCATCGACGGCATCGTGATGATGTACAACCTGAGCGTCCATCAGCAGCTGGGGAAGGTCAGTCTGGTCCCGCATCTTATCGATGCGTCAGTGCAGCGGCCATATTGGTGAGGGACCCGCCTCTGCTGAGGAACTGTGCAAAGACAAATATTTTAGTCTCTACTGAAAATACCTCAATTCACTTTAAATAAAACAAAGCAAACTTACAAATAATATTTTAGTTTCCATATTAATGAAACATTGTATTTATTATTTCCCATAAGAGAAATAATCTGCCGGTGGAACTAGTAATTTTTCATCAAAATGAAGTTTCAAAACAAGCTTCTATATTTTTCTGAGGTTGTTAGTTTTGTCTTATTACACATATATTTGGAGTAAAAACTAGAGTAAAATATTTTAGTAAGATTTTGTGATTTTTGCAATGTATCGGAGCTTAAAATCCTTGAAAAAGTTGGAACTTCATTGAGGAGTTATCAGGGTTTAGAACATGCTTGATTTTTGCTGTGGGAAAAGCAAAAGAACCCTGGATGCCTTAATGCAGCGGCCATATTGGTGAGGGCTCCTGGTCCCTGCTGGTTCTGGAGGTTTCTTCTTGTGCACAGAACCAATCGGTCCAGAGTGGTGAGGTTCGCTAAACCCGATCTGTCCCCTGCAGATGGTGGTGGTGGCAGACGAGGTCCATGAGTACGCTGTGGCTCTGAAGGACACTGAGGAGAAGATTGCTCGCTGTCCCACCAGAGTGAGTCCAGAACCGGACTCTCATCCTGTGACGGCTGGTTCTGCTGGTTCCGGTTCTGCAGTGACTCTGGGTTGTGTGTTTCAGCGCGCAGACATCCTGGACGAGCTGCAGAAGAGCCAGAAGGTTTTTTCAGAGAAGCTGAACCACCTGAGCCGCCGGCTGGCCTGGATCAACGCCACCATCTACTCCAAGGTGGCCCGTCTGGTTCGGACCTCCCGGTTCTGGTCAGTGTGCGGCTCTAACACCCGGTGTGTGTGTTCAGGAGAAGATGCTGGACGTCTACTGGCTGCTGTGCGTCTGCATCCGGACCATCGAGCACGCCGACAACACGGCGTCGCTGTTCGCCTTCACGCCGGAGTTCTACCTCAACGTGGCCATGAACGCCTACAGCGCCCTGAAGAACTACTTCAGCCCCGCCAACAGCATGGACGAGCTGCCAGGTACCGACCCGACCGGTCCGGACCGGTTCTGATGGGAAACCATCCGCCACCAGAGAGTTCTCCACAGAACAGTAAAATATAGCTGAAGCATCATCAACCTGATGATGATGATGATGATGATCCGGTCGGGTTGATTTGTGCTGATGTCACTGTGGCTCAGAGTGACTCCGCCCACAACGTCACCTGATTGACTCAGCACTCAATCATATGACAGCGAAGTCGTTGACCTTTGACCTCTGCTCCATTAACAGGAGGTAGTGTCAGAGTGAGGCACAGTCTGTGTGTGTATCTGCGTGCGTGTGTGTGTGTGTGTCTGTGTGTGTGTCTGTGCGTGTGTGTGTGTGTGTGTGTGTGTGTCTGTGTGTGTATGTGCGTGCGTGTGAGTCTGCGTGTGTCTGTGTCTGTGTGTGTGTGTGTCTGTGCGTGTGTGTGTGTGTGTGTGTGTCTGTGTGTGTATCTGCGTGCGTGTGTGTCTGCGTGTGTCTGTGTGTGTCTGTGTGTGTGTGTGTGTGTGTGTGTCTGTGTGTATCTGCGTGCGTGTGAGTCTGCGTGTATCTGTGTGTGTCTGTGTGTGTGTGTGTGTGTGTGTGTGTCTGTGTGTGTGTGTGTGTGTGTGTCTGTGTGTGTGTGTGTGTGTGTCTGTGTGTGTCTGTGTGTGTGTGTGTGTGTGTGTGTGTGTGTGTGTGTGTGTGTGTGTGCCTGTGTGCGTGTGTGAGTGTGTGTGTG